TTTCCATCTAACTTTTCATGCAGCTCTGGTGGCAGGCCCTGTCAGTGCCCCATGCCCATCTCCTTGGCACTCATCATTCCTGTGCAAACCTGCGCTTCCATCCACACCCCTGCGATCCTTTGGCCGAGGGCTCTCTCTGGATGCCCAGAGACACGAGATGGGCAGGCCAGTAGGGCCAGGGAGTTGAAGGCCTCCCTCCAGCAGCCCTCATTCAGTGACCGGCGGGAGCTGGTGGATATATACCCCAGTTCCCTCACCCCTCAGGGAGACAACTGAGATGTGTTCTGCACAATGTCCCAGCCACCCTGGTAGGACTGAGGCCCAGTCTCCCACAATGGTGACCTCAGTAATGCACACAATTGGTTCTCTTCTTTTCTCTGCTTCCCTTCCTCTCACTCCCCGGCCAGTGCTTCCCCAGATCAACTCCCAGAAAACTACTTGGAATCTAATATCTCATGGTCTGCTCCTGAGTGAGCTCAACCTAAGACAACCCCACACCTCTTCTGGAAAATTCCTATTCTGCTTTAATTGGCAAGAGTCTGTTTCTGTTACCTGCAACCCACGGAGGCTATCAGAATTAATAGTGGTCTGAGTGGTGTCACATTGCACCTGGCTGTAATAACCTATGGATGTCTTTCTAAAGACCATCAGAGCTCTGAAAGGGGAGCAAGAGGGTCTCATGAGCCTTTGTTCTAAGCTCTTTCATATGCACGCTCAGAGAACTTGAGCTCAGAGCTATGCTTGGATGGCACATGGCCCCAGCACATGAGGTCTCTTGTGACCCCAGGTCACTCCTAGGGGGAGGACTGGCCTAAAAATTCCTCCTGATTGATGGTGATCAAGCCAGGATTCCATGCACTGAGAGAGAGAAGGCAAGTACTGAAGCTGCTGTCTGCAAGCCCCGTAGATGGGCTTGGGATGGCTTTTGGAATGAAGCACCACATCTACGTCTTGGAGGAGATGCTGAGTTCTTGGGGATCCAGCCAGATGAACCAGGAACTAGAAAAATGTGGTCCTTGGAATAGAGTGCCACCTGTGTTCCACATAGATACAGCATCGGGTGGTCAGTGGCTAGATCCACTGGGCTAACTGGAGCCCAGGCTGGTGCTCAGAGCTCTCTGCAGTCCTCAAGTCCAGCTGACTGGACACCTGGAGTCAGGTTCCTTGCTGTCCTGAAGTTGCATTCAGTCTCGGATGTATTCATATAGTCAACACATGTGTGCAGGGCCTGGCGGATATGAGGTGAACCAGATGTTCTCCCAATCCTCTCTCCAAGGAAGGATGAGATAGTCACATAAGCAAGACGGGGCCCTGGAACGATACAGGTGCTGCTGGCATAGACGTCTGTGCAGAGGAGGGGCCCAAACTTGGGGGAGCTGAGGGACAAGGAAACGACCCAAGGGAGGTGATGGAGGGGCGCTCCAGGCAGGGGGTGCAGCATGAGAAAAGCTCAGAGGCATAAAAGCCTGGTGGGTGGTTCTGCCTGATGCAGTGAAGGGTTAAGTGGCCAGAGATAATGTTAGAGAGGCCAGCAAAGGCTCAGTCATGGAGGAGCCTGTATGCCACACCAAGGGGTTTGGTTTTCATCCTCAAATCAATAGAGACTGCATAATTTTAATTGAATTGATAACAATAATTGAATAATATTAAAAAGGACCATGTGGTCATGTTGCATTTCAGAAAGATTTCTCAGGAAGCAGAATGGAGAAGGAATTGGAGGAGGTGAGACTGGAGACAGGGAGACAATATGAGTAATGAAGGCAAGAGGTCATGGAGGCCAAATGAGGGCAATGATAGAGGAAATGTAGAGGGGGCGGTGGATATGAGATACGGGGAGGATGTGAAATCAGTCAGACCTAATTCCCTGAACGGAGAGGTAAGGGAGAAGGTTGGGGTGATGCTCCCATCTGCGTAGGGCACCTGGATCACGGTGATGCTGTCCACCCAGACGGGGGAACTGGTAGGTATGGCATCTCTGGGTGGAGAGGCGATGGAAAGCTGACTTTTGGACATTTGAAGAGAGGGGTCCATGAAATATCTCTGTCACTATTTCTATCACTGCCCTAACCATGGCATGTTATAAAGACCTGCTCAAGTGTCCGTATGTGTATTCCAGCTCCCCACCACTTGTGAATGGCAAGCTCTTTGAGCCTAGAGATCCAGGTCTCACTCATCTCTGCGGTCCCAGGACCTGGCACAGTGACTGGTGCCCAACGACAGGTGCTCAATACTTGTCAGTTGAATGGCAGGGTGGGTGCCCCACTGAGCGATGACTTCAGCCCATTCCCATCGCTGAGTGCCCCTTGGAATCACATCCCAGACAAGTAGATGAAATCTCCCCTTAAAGGAGTAGAGGGGTGTCCTTTCCCCCCACTAACATCGTGAGGGGCCCTGCAGCTCTGGACAAGTGGCCAGACTTGGGACATGGAGTCGGGTGGCTGAGGAGCCCAGGCAAGGCCAGGCGTGCAGCTGGCTATGCCCAGACCAGGCCTCCCTGTGTGGATGCGCACACCTGGGCGACTCATAGCAGGTGGATGGGCAGGTGGGGGCACTGGAGGCTGGAGGAAGGGTGGGGCAGGATGTGGGCTGAGGGGCCAGGGAAGGTGGCAGGGAAGGGCCAGGAGGAAGCAGCTGCTTTGGTGTTGCCATCTGACAGGCCCACAGCCTCCTTGGGCTCAGCTCCTCCACCTTAAGCCAAACACTCACTCCTCAGCGGGCGTGACTCAGACCTAATGGATCATGTTGCCGTCATCAAGGAGGGGCTGTGTTCTTGGAAGAGCGGGGCACCAGGCCAAGTCTCCGCAGGCGGCATGAGGGCTGCTGCGCCAGGCTGGGGAGTGCCCACTTAGCTGGCGCCAAGCCCCAGGCGTTCACCCTGACCTGGGCGGGGAGACGGGGCTCACTGGCTCCCTGCCCGAGCGCAGGTTTAGGGCCACTCTGTCTGTATGGCGTTGATCCCAGCACGTGTGTAGGTGCCCAGGGCTTTCAGAGCTTGGCCTCTGCTCTGCTTCCAGGGGTCCCCACTCAGGCACTCCCATGGTGTCACAGAGGCTGCACCCCTCTCACCTCACCCTCTCCTCTTCAGAGCCTCACAGCTGCCCTGGGAATCAGGCTGGGGGTGGTACATATCAGCGGGCCCATTTCTCAGATGGGAGCACATGTGCAGGCCCAAAGAGAGGAAGGGGTGCACCCCAGTTCACCCAACAAGTTAGTGGTAGGGCTGGGACCTGAGTGTGGGCTGGCCCTCTCCCTCCTGCCGCATCCTTCCTCATTCATGCCGCTCTAGCCATTACGGACTCCTTGATATTTATATGCCTGAGCATACATGCCAAGCTTTTTCCTACCCCAGGGCCTTTGCACATACAGTTCCTCCACTTGACAGGCTCCTTCCTGCTCGCATGTCGCCATCTAAAAGAGCAGCCTCCTTCCCTTTCATCATTTTCTCCCCTTATGCCACTTAATTTCTCTCCTACAGAACATATCATGAGTTTATTTTGTATTTCTTTGTTGTCAGCTGCTAGAAGGCAGAGACTTTCTCCATCTTATACACAGCTGAATCCCTGGTGACTAGAACAGTCAGTGGAATATAGTAGGCACTTAATTAATATTTGTTGAAGGAATGAACAAACCCAGATCACCTCTCTCTAGTCCAGAGCTCTCTCACTGTCCTCTCTGCATCCCAGGGAAGCTGGGGCAGGGGCCTGATGAGGGCAAGTGGCTCAGGCTGGAGGGAGGCAGCCTTGCCCCTTTGCCAGAGACATGCCAGACACTCTGACCCAGGCCACCTGGGGTCTGGTGCATGTCGGGGGCTCTCTCAGGGCCTCACGGCATCCCAGGAGCATGGAGGGATCAGTGTGGACAGCAGATGCCTCTGCTTCTGAGCTCTTTCCCAGGGCTGCCACCATCTCTGTCCGTGGACCCACTGTCCTTTGCCCCCTCTTGGATCTGTCACTCAACATTATTTGGGCACTTTCTGTGCGCTGGCCTCAGGATTGGCACCCATCCCAGAGAGCTCTATCAGCAAGGCTGACAAGCAAACACGCCCAGAGCACAGGAAGCAGACTCTGACAGAGGAAGTGCGAGCAGTCAGGGTGGGGCATTTGGGGCAGGCAGCAATGACCTTGCCCGGGTTGACCAAGGGCAGTGGGGAAGATTTCAGAAGTGAGGGCTATTTGAGCTGGTATAAGGGATGGGGGGTGGGGGTGTTGCAGATGGAGATGGGAGACCCAGCATTGCCGGCAGAGAGAATAAATTGTGCAAAGTGTTCTGTAGAATGAAGAAGCGTGGGGCCGGGGGGGGGGGCAAAGGTGAGGCTGACAAGGTAGGTTGGAATCAGACACTGAAGGGCGCCTGGGCTTCGTCACTGGGCAGTGGGCTCCATCACAGCGTTTTGGACAAGGGTGACTTGCCCAGTTTGCATTTTGGGAAGCTCGCCTGGCCGCTGTGCACAGTGGTTTGGAGTGGCAGGTGGGGAGCCAGGTGCATGAGTTAGGAGACCATCAAGGTAGCCAGGTCAGTGATGACGGTGCCAGGACCAGGGCATGGCGGCGAGTGTGGAGGAGGAGGACGGACAGATTCAAGGGCTGAGTAGGAAGCAGAACCTATACGCCCAGTGGGAAGGCACAGGAGGCTGCCAGATTGGCTTCCAGACTCCACCACTGGAAGGTGGTGGGATGTGGGTGGGGGGCGGAGATCTGGCCCCCTCGGCCATTGCTGGCTCATCTCGTGCCTCTCTCTGCTCACTGACCTCACCTTAGCTGCTCTGGCCTCTGTTCCCTGGATGTGCCAAGCTTCTTCCTGCTCAGGGTCCTAACACATTCTGTTTCCTCTGCCTGCAACACTGTTCCACTCTGCTACAGCCTGCCCCTCCCGCTCATCCCTTGGCCTCCTCTGACTTCCCAGATGGATTTAGAACTTTTTTTTTTTGGTGAAGAAGATTGTCCCTCAGCTAACATCTGTGCCAGTCTTCCTCTATTTTGTATGTGGGAAGCTGCCACAGCATGGCTTGATGAGAGGTGTGTAGGTCCCACACCTAGGATCTGAACCCATGAACCCCAGGCCTCCAAAGTGGAGCATGTGAACTTAACCACTAAGCCACTGGGCCAACCCCAGACTTCCCAGATGGAGAGGTCAGTCTTGGATCCTCCCAGAGCACTGAGTGTGTCTCTTTCATGGGGCTGATCCCAGTGGTGATGACACAGGTCTGCTGGCTGCCCGTTTAGTACTAGTCACTCACTTAACCACAAGCTCCTTGAGGGCAGGAACTATGTCTGACTCATTTCCTGCTGTATCAAACACTCAGTATGGAGCTTGGCACCTCGCTGCTCCTTAAACTCTTGTCGAATGAAGGAATGAATTCTGAATTAATGAATGAGGTTTATTTGGATACACGGACATCCACAGGGATGCTGTCCCATAGCAGTTGGACATAGGAGTCGGGCTTATACTTTGACAGGAGGACCGATCAGGAAGCTTGTTACTACGAGTGAATCTAGGAGGGGTGGGTCCGAGGAAAGACCTTGGGCAGGGGGATGGGAGGTGGGCTCGGCACCCCACAGGCTGCTCTTGATTTTACTCTGGACTTTGAAAGATGCAGAATTCAAGCTTCCTGGTCCCTTGAAGCAGCTAGAACCATCAGCAGCCATTCCTGCCACATTGATAGAGGTCTAACGTCCAAAACAAGGAGGGTGACAAACTCCTTTGCTCCTCCCTGTCCCCGTCTCCCTCTAACCTGGGACACTGGCAGAGAGACCTGGGGGCCAAAAGAGAAGTGCAGAGAGGCCCAGGAGCTTCATCATATGCAAGGGTGGGGGCAGGCGAGGGGCTGGACCTGCTAGCCTGGAGGTGCTCATGAACCCCTGGAGGGTTCATGGAGGTGCTCACCTTGGGTTCATGCAGGTGCAGGAGGCTAGAGACAGAGCTGGGACCCCTCAAGGAGTCTCAGGGAACCGACCTCTTGTGTGAGGAAGGACTCTGTTTAAAGCCATCTAAAAATGAGACTGGTAGGTAGTGAGCTCCCCGTCGCTGGAGGAGAAATGACTTCCTGGTGGGGTTGCTGTAGGAAGACCTGAGTGGAAGATGGGAGGCAGGACTCAGATGACCTTTAAGGTTCCCCTCCCTTTAGGAGATGATGTTCTTCCTTTAGCATGGGAAATCATTGTTAAATATTTGCTCTGCCTCGCTAGGCAATGGAAGAGCAACTGCCACCCACTTCAGAGGCATCTGCGGGCCCAGGAGGTTCCTGAGGAGGGGCAGGAGGATGCCACAGCTGAGTCAGGGCCCTCAGATTGGGCTTGGCTGCAGATCTGGAGCATCTATCCATCTGTCCGGGTGTCTATCTGGCTGCTTGGGGCCCCCGAAGGGGCTATTCCTGAACAAGAACCCTTCCCACTGACTCATTTAACTATTCTTACGACTTATCTGTAGTCTTGACATCTTTCAAAATAAAAAGGTTTTTTAAAAAACACTGAAACTTTGATTCAAATATTTCAGAGTGAGGCTCAGCATCTGCAGTTTTAAATTCTCCCCAGGGAAATCTCATCTGCAGATGGAGCTGAAAATCACTGCTCTCAATGAACTAGAGAAATGCATATGTAAATCAAACTTTCTTATTCTTTTTATAAATCAGAAAGTCTTTGAAAGCAGATAACCAAATTGCTCATTCATAGACGTTGTAGGAGTATAGGAGAGTTTCAGATACTGAATTTTCTTGAAAAGAATCTTGTCTGTATTTAACCCTTTGAAATGCAAATTAACATATACACTTGAAACAGGAGGGTGTCTTCCTTATGTTTTATTTTGCCTTTTTTCCCCCTCTGTCAGTTGTGCTCTCTTCATAGTGCAAAAAAAGAAATAAAAAGAAATAAAAAGAATCATTTCTGTTTATGTTTACACCTCATTTCACTCTCTGCAAAATGTTTTCCCATCTGCTATCCCCACCCTCATCCTCACAGCAGCCCTAGGAGGGAGACAGAGGCAGAATTATCATCCCATTTTGTGCATGGGTAAACTGAGGTCTGGTTAAGGAAAGTGGCTTTTCTGAGTACACACAGTTGGTTGGCCAAGGCACTGGCAAAGGAACCGGTGACTCCAGCCCCTTTTCCCTCCCTCCTGCTACCTCAAGTTGCTGCTTTTTTTCCTGCCTCTCCTTTTCTTTCTCTCGCTCTCTGACTTAGTGTCTCTCTGTTTTTCTCTTTCGACTTCCATTTCCCTCTCCTTCTTGAACGCCCTCAGACTGGTGTCAGCTTTGCAAGCTGTCCAAACTTTTCCTCATGCCGGAAATCTGCCAGCCCCACAGCCCCACGCACCACAAGCTCAGCATCTCTGCCAAGAGCAGGCCCTTTCCGGATGCCAGGGTGCAGAGGTTAACTCTGGGTGATGCTGCTGGTCAGTCCATCTGGCCCCAGATAAGGGTGGGGATCAACACTATAAACAGGCCCCCCATCCTTCCCCCGGCCCAGGCCCCCACTAGCTCAGGCCACCTCAGCCCAGGATCAGCATGGCCGTCCGCCTGTGGGTGGTCGTCTTGACCTTGGCTGCCCTCCTCGTGGTGGACAGACGTGAGTGGGCAGAGCCTGGATTCTCTGTGGCTTGGTGTTGGTAGGTGAGCTTGGGTGGGACAGGGGCAGGGCCTGGAGCCCCCTGTGAGGCCTCGGTTTTCTGCATATTCCTTCTTTCTGCATGCCTCCACTGTGGTGGGGAAAGCCCCTGGCTAGGAGGAAAGAAACCTGGGTTCAAATCCTGACTTTGGCCCAGAATTGCAAAAGTTCACTCCCCCCGTGGGGCCTCATTTCTCCAGCTGTGAGGTAGAAGGTTGTTCTAGCTCAAAGCTGCCCTGAGCAACTACTGGGCTAGAGCAGCGGCAGGCAGAAGGGAGCAGGCCTCTGGCGGGGAGAGGGGCAAGTCTGCTGGCTGCAGGGCGGTGGGTGCTGAAGGGAGACTGGCCTGCGTCCTCTGAGCTCCCCCTCCGCCTGCTGGGCACAGTGCGGGACTGACAGCAAGCAAGCATGTGAGCACGGGAGCCCCGCCCCGGGCGGGACACACACAGCTGGAGCGGGGCCTCCTCGGGGCCTGGGCATCTCTACAGCCTCACACTTAGTGACACTACCAGGCATTGTTCTGGGCCCTTAAAATAGGCCAGTGACTAAAACAGAGTAAAAGAACTGTCCTGACGGGGCTTAAATCCAATGCCAGAGCAGGGAGGGGAACAGACAGTAAACACGATTGGTGCAGTGTGTGTTCAACAGGATGTCAAAAGGTGATAAAGGTTAAAGGGAAAATATTGGCAGGGTGTTGGAGATTGGAAGGGGGTTGCAATGTTAAATCAGGAGAATTCTCTCTCAGAGTCTGATATTTGAGCAAAACTTGAAGGAGGTGGCAGTGAGCCATGTGGATAACTGGGAGAAGTGGGTTCCAAGCAGAGGGAACAGCCAGTGCAAAGGCCCTGAGGTAGGAGCATGCCTGGAGTGTTTGAGGTACCGCAAGGAGGCCAGTGCAGGAGGAGGGGAGTGAGAGGCAGGGTGCAGAGTGATGGGAGAAGAGATGATAGAGGCAACTGGAAAGATACTGGGTAAGGCTTTGAAGGCCAAATGAGAGGCACTGAGGGTTCCAAGCAGAGTTATGTGTTAAAAAGATTGCTCTGGTTGCTACGTCGAGAATAGACTAAACAGGGAAGCAGGGAGACTACTTATGACCCACCTGGACAAAGCCATGATGTTATAGGGTAGGGCCTGGCAGGACCCCAAGGCCATTGACCTCATGGCTAGTCCCACACCCATTTCCCCAGCCAGGGACATAGATTTAGGGGCTGGAGCAACGAGAATGGGTCTGGGGGCTCTGACCCAGCACAGCCTGCTTCCTCCCAGCCTGGCATCTCTTTCCTGAGCAACACCGAGGAGCTCTGCCCTGAAGAGCGTCCTTGTGCCCATTTCAGAGTCTTGCCTGGGCGGAGTGAGGAGGGGGCACCTTGGGCCAAGGTCAAGGACAGCCTGGTGGCAAATGCAATTTCTTCCTGCATCCTCCAGGAAGGAAGGTTCTGAAGTCCTCCTTCCCATAATGCACTTATGGTCAGTTCCTTGAACAGTCACTGTGTGGAGGGCATTGCCACATGGGAGCAGAGACAAAGGAGCCCCAAGGAGCTCCTTTAGGTCCATGGGAGGCAGGACTGACCCAGCGAGTGGGACAGCATGTGGCGGCATGAAAGAAGCTGCTATGTTCTGAATGTCTGTGGGCCCCAAAATTCATGTGTTGAAATCCTAACCCCCCAAGGTGATGGAACTGGGAGGGGACTTTTGGAAGGTGAGTAGGTCAGGAGGGTGGGGCCTTCAGGAATGGGATTAGTGTCCTTATAAAAGAGGCCCCAGGGAGCTCCCTCGCTCCTTCCCCCATGTGAGTACACAGGGAGAAAGAGGGGCTATGAACCAGGAAGATGGCCCTTGACAGACACCAAATCTTCTAGGGCCGTGATGTTGGACAGCCCAGCCTCCAGAACCACGAGAAATAAGTGTTTGTTGTTTATAAGCCCCCAAGTTTTCGGTATTTTTGATATAGCAGCCCAAATGGACTAAAACAGAAGCCTGAATTCAGGCCTGCTCAGGAAACACTGGGGGCATCAGGGAAGGTTTCGCAAGGAGGTGGCATCTGAGCCTCGAGAGGAGGGTGTGAGTCAATAGGAAGAGAAGGGGAACAAGGACATTTCAGGCAGAGGAACAGCATGGACCAGAGCAGAGCCTGTTCTGGGAGGAGCAAGCAGAGAGGGCTAGCTGGGCGTGGGCACATGGAGGGGTGCACAGGAAGGGAGCCCAGAGAGGAAGTTTGGCATCAGCCCTTGCTGTGCCCTAAACATAAGATGAACAAGCTTAAAAAAAAAAAAAAAAAAAAAAGATGAACAAGCTTAGTGACCATGACAGGAAGCCATGCAAGGGCTTTATACTTTTTTAATGCTTTTTGGTCCCTTATTAGTTACATTCCATGAAATGCACAAATCATATCACTCAAAGAATCTTGCTCAATGAGTTTTGACAATGCATATTCCTGTGTAACCCAAACCCCTATCAAGACACAGAACATTTCTATTGCCCCAGAAATTTCCCTCCTGCCAGTCAATTCCCTCCCTGACTCCACCTCCAGAGGCAACCACGGCTCTTTCTTCCACCATAGGTTAGTTTGGCCTGTTCTAGAATGTCACATAGAAAGTTGCATTGTGGGGCTGGCCCTGTGGCTAAGTGGTTAAGTTTGCGTGCTCCGCTGCAGGCGGCCCGGTGTTTCGTTGGTTCGAATCCTGGGCGCGGACATGGCACCGCTCATCAAACCACGCTGAGGCAGCATCCCACAAGCCACAACTAGAAGGACCCACAACGAACAATATACAACTATGTACCGGGGGGGCTTTGGAGAGAAAAAGGAAAAAAAATAAAATCTTAAAAAAAAAAAAAAAAAGAAAGTTGCATTGCCCCCCAGGCTGCCCACGACCTTGGCCCGAGGTGGCCCCTCCATACGGCAGGTAGTCTTTTGCGTCTGGCTTCTTTTGCAGGTTTCAGCAGGTTTTCGAGGTTCAGCCATGCTGTTGCATGTGTCAGTTGTCTATTCCTTTTTATTGCTGGGCTGTATCCCTCTGTGTGTGTGTGTGTCAACAGTCTCTCCATCCTCCTGTTGAAGGACATCTGGGTAATTTCCAGTTCCAGCAATTCTGGCACAGAAAGGGTTGTGAGCAGTGTGGTGATGGGCCAGACCTGCACTTGATGCCCCAATGCCACAGTGCGACAGCACATCAGAGGTCCTTTACTCTCCATTCCCCTCTCCCCCTCTACCCTGGAAATTGCTAGCAAGAGCATCCCCAGGAAAAGCTAAAACCACAGTGCTCTGCATGCCTCCCAGTGACGGAGAGCTCTCCACTTCTGGAGACAGCCTCCTTCACTGAGACATAGTTCCCACCGAGAGAAAGTTCTGGAACCCAAACCTGCCTCTCTGAAGCCTCCTCACATGGATGGGCTCTGCCCTGTGACGCTGAGAAGAGTCACCTCTCCCTTGTTCCCAGGACAGCCCTTCAGAGACTTGGGGAGCCACCCACCCTCCTCCACTTTACAGACACCTTCCCTCCACCTGTGGCCTTGGATGTGGCTCCGGTTCCCTCCTCCCCGTCATGCTCGCCAGTCACGTCACAGTTGGCTCGTGTCCTGGAAGCAGTTCGTCTAGACCTGGAGGGGCTGTGGGGCACACAGGTGTGAGTGGAGAGAACCAGGCTGTGTGCATCCCAGCGCTGCCCTCAACAAGCTGTGTGCTTCCCCTGTGAGTTTCCCGTTTCCCCAGGAAACAGAGTCGGATCTGCACGTGGTCTATGCGGGGTGCTCAGGGGTGACACCCATGGAGGATGAGGGAAGTTGACTGTGATGCAGTGCAGCAGAGGCCTCCGATGACCCAGCGGGGAGCTTGGCGCTGGGTGGCCCTTCAGCACTGTGTGAAGGCAGACGAGGGGTTTGGGCCGTTGTACCCACATCAACCCGGGGTGGACACGGGCTGTTTCTGGGAGGGGGATGCGACCTTGGGCAAGGCACTCCCCTTCTCTGAGACTAATTCCTGGGAAGGAACGCAATATCCCTGGCAGCTGAGGAATGAGTGCCTCAGCCATTGGTGGGGTCTGGCTGGCAGGCCACAGCATCCACTACTGCCTCCTTTGCTCCCTGTCACATGGCAGTGAGAGGTGTGAATAGTTAAGAGCACGGATTCTCAATGCCGGGCACACAGTAGCTGAATTGCTATTTTATTGTTATATGGTACATAACAATCTCAGTGGAATCTGACGAGGAACAGGCTGGACTGTCACCTCCCTAATTCTTTACTTTCTCTCTCTGTTTATGTAACCCGAGGTCACAGTGGCTTTCTGGGAACCTCACTGTCTGGTGACTCACTACTTTCCTTGAGGAATTCCGAGTTGGGTAGTGGCTGGGATAGGTCCCCTGCAGGTCCTCAGACCCCTGGACCTGGGCCTGGAGCTGACATCACTTAATTCTTGCCTTTTTGCCTTTCAGAAGTGCCAGCGTCAGCAGGAAAGCCCATTTTCTCAAGAATGGTAAGGTGGCCATGGCAGTTCTGGCCCCAGAGCTGCTGTTCTGGCCTTTCACCTGCAGAGGGGAGCCCTCTCCATCATCCATGCTGGGAAACCAGCGTTTTTCTTCTTTACACTCCTGCTCAGATGACTCCGATGGCTCCACAGTGGCCGGGGTGGCCTCCTGAGCCTATATGTTCCCAGAGTAGCCCTTCCAGGCCGAGCAGGCCCAGCCCCCTTGCCAAAGTTGCAAACTTGACCTCAGGGCCCTGGAGAGATCTGCGCGACCGGGTCTCCAAGGCCCCGCTGCGGCAGTGAGATCCCCGGCCCAGGTCCGGCAGGACGGCACGCTCTCTGCTCCGCACAGTGCAGAGGGCAGGCCACGGGGTTCTGGCCCGGGAGGCGACCCAGTGCACTGATGGCCTCGTGGAGTGTGCCAGCCTCTCCACCACACTCCGCCGTCTACCCCTGCACTCTGGAGCACAGACACCAAGGGGTCCCTGAACCCCAATTCCACCTTGGCCCTGGCTCTGCTGTCTCCGGGGCCCAAGGCAGTGGCACTGGCCTCCTTGAGACCCTCATCCCACTCTTCACCTAGGGGACAGGAGGCACAGAGCCACCTCCAGCCATCAGCATCGGCGTCTTGGCCATCAGCCTGGCAGAGCCCAGCCCCACTTACTCTGCGCCAGCCCAAGTGCCAGACACTTTACATGCATTATCTCAATTATTCACAGGTCTCGCAGATGAGGAAACTGAGGCTTGGAGAGTGGAAATGGCTCTTCCAAGTTTACACAGCCAATCAGTGCGGCACCCAGGTCTCCAGGGCCCGGGGCCTCCACTGCACCGCCCTGCCTCGCCCTGCCTCCCACCCCGACCCCTTCCCAGGGCTGACCAAGTTCTGACTCTGACCTCAGGCTGGCCTGAAACCCTTTCAGACCGAGCCTCAGTCAAGCCCAGGCCCTGTCCCACTTCTCCAGCCTTCTCACACCAAGAGCCTGGGAGGTCATGCAGGGCAGGGTGAGTTCAGGAGCCCAGGGAGGATGGCCTCCTGGGAATGATGGGTGGTGCTGTCTCCTGGGGTCCTCAGCGGAACCAGCGCAGAGGTTCTAGTGAGACCCTCTGAGGAGTGTGTGCACCCATCCCCAGGAGCTTCAGAGCACAAACTCATTCCACACACTTAAACACAGGCACACACCTGGATGCCCGCATACCTGGGCTCAGCAGACACAGGTGCACACTTTGTACACTCACTCCCACAGCCACAGCCACACACACACATACCAGCAAACACACCAAGGGGCCCCTAGTGGTTGGTTTCATGCTCACTGGAGCCACGCTGGCACCTTCTTGAATTGGGCTCCTCCCTGGAGCCCTGCTGGTTCAAGCAGAGCCCCTGGGTCCCTCGCTGCCTCTGAATCCCTGTGCGCCCTCCCTTCCTCCCTCCTCCACAGCCCATGTGACCACGTGGCAGAGTCTCTAGACTGTCCCCAGACATCCAGCCTGGCCTACGGCACTGACCAGGTCACGTATGACAATGACTGCCAGCTCTGCTTGACCCGGATGTAAGTCCACCCCCAGCTTCCCCTGGGCTTGATTGGGTGGTCCCATCTCTGTGCACACGCATCTGAAAGGAGCAAGACTTGACCTGCATCATCCTTCACACACACTCGGCCTGAGCAGAGTCCTCCAACATGACACGGGCCCCCAACAGACTAAACACAACTGTAATTCAAAGGCAGCATGTGGCCCAGCAGAAAGCCACGGCTGGGACAGGGCTGTGGGCGGGGCAGAGACCTGGGTTCTTCTGGTTCTACCCCTGACTCACTAGGCAACCTCACTTGTCTATTTATTCCTCCTGCCAGCAATTCTGTATTGAGTACCTACTATGTGCTGGATGCTGGGGCTACCACAGGACAATGAGCTAGACAGCATGACACCTCCCGGGCATGTGCTCAGTCTGTGGGGGAAACCACGCTGACCGTCGGCCAACTGCAGCACAGGATGCTCAAGGCTCAGACGGGGCTGCCCAGGGGACTGGGGGTGCAGGGCAAGGGCAGAGAAGACTTCCCAGAGGAGGTGACATCTCAGCTCAGCCCTGAGGGAGTAGAAATGAGCTAGGAAAAGGCAGGAAGAAGGGAAGGTAATTCTAAGTAAAGAAATGAGTTTGGAAAGGTCTAGAAGGGAAAGGAAGTCTCTATTTGAGGAAATCTAAGAAGCTGGATGTGCTGGAGGATAAAGTTTAAAGGAGAATGGGAGAGGCAAGAAACGAGTCTAGAGAGGTGAGCAGGGCCACATAAGACCCTGGTACGTCAGATTGCCCATTTGGTCTCATTTCCTCATTAAGAGGACCCTTGAGCTGACCAGAGCTCAGAGAAATCGTGGAAGAGAAGAAAGCCTTTGGAAGCTGTAGCCCTCTAGACAGATGGGCAGGACAGCAGGACAGGGTCCTAACTTAGCAAAAGATCATGACAATGAAAGACTCACGGTTACATGGTGGGTGGAAGTGACAGGCTGGGAGGCTGGACGTGAGGAGTAGGGGGTGCAGGGAGACAAGAGCAACATTCCTAACTTGTGAGCTTGGGCGGCTGGCGGTGCCATGTGCCCACACGGGGGGCAGGGGGATGGAGTAGGTTTGTGCAACAATGCTGCTTGTGGACAGTTGGGCCTCTGGGACCTCTCAGTGGAGAAGTGCAATGGACAACTGCATGAACAGGCCCAGAATTCAGGACAGAGGTCCAGGCCAGACAGATTTGTAGCCACTAGCATGCAGTGGCGGTTGGAAGCCCAGACAGCTGAAATCTCCCAGGGGGGAGTGCGAGAGAGAAGCCATAGAAGGATATGCCCAGGGCGCCCTGAGCTGCCCTGCACCACACATTGGGTGGGTGGGTAGGGCTCAGCAGCGTGTTTGGAGGGACTGGGCCAGTGTCCCTGACGGAGACATTCCAATTCTTAAGGAAGTGGCCTCATCCTTGTCTCCTGTGACCCTATAAAAACCAAGAGGACATCCAGATCAGGAAGGATGGCAAATGCCAATCCCACAGGAGCCCCTTAAGCCAGGAAGCTTCAGGCTGGAGAGCGGTGGTGGCAATGGAGAGGATGTGACGTGAAATAAAAGATGCAGCCAACCCAGCCCAGTGAGCCAGTTATCTTCTGGGACTCCGAGGAGGCAGCTGTAGGGGTGGAGATCTTGCCCTGTCCGCCCTGCTCTGAACCTGATGCCCTCTCCATCACGCCAATGCTCCTCCACCCCCGAGAGAGCCCAGGTATCTTCTGTCTGCCTGAGGTCAGGGCTCTGAGAGGCCAGCCCAAGCCCAGGTCACAGCCCAGCGCTCCTGTCTGCCCCCACCTGGCCTGTCACTGAGGCCAAGAACCTAGGTGAGATCAGTACCCTCCGTCACTGCCAGGGTACATCGCCCAGCCTCAGACGGCCTTTGTGAGGGTCCCACATCCCTCGTGGCCTCCCTGGGTTATACTGGTGCCCTGAGTCTCTCTCTCCCTCTCTCTCTCTCTCTCACACACACACACACACACCCCCCACCATGACTGATATTCAGGCAGCTTGTTAAAACCTTGAACTAGGTCTGTAAGTTGAAGGCAGGTGCTGCCCCGAGCCCTTGCGTGCCCCCTGCACCCCGGCCATCCACAGTGGATGACTCCAGACCTTGCTCTGCTCTTTGCGTCAACATCCACTGACTGGTTGTAAAATATGTGACATTAGCCATGACCTCAGGCACACACAGCACACATGCACACATACCACAGCCCACAGGAACACGCAGCATCCAGAAACCCCATAGAGAGAGATCCCAGCCTGTGGCATATGTCAAATACCCGCTTGTTTGCCCAAAGCCTACGGGAGGAGCCTCTTAGAAATGGTGGCAGGAGAAAGGAGTGCGGAGATGGGCCTGGCCAGGAGGAAGCAGTTTCACATGGACCCAGATTCCTGCTCTAGGGTGGGCAACAGAGCAGGAAACGCCCAGTGGGAAAACACACACACCAAGGTCTGGAAGGAGAGTGGGGGCAGGGAAGGCAGGAACCAACATTCCCCGGACCATCGAAATGGGAACTCCGGGCATGAATGGTTGCTGACACAGTCGCAGGTGACAGGGACTGTGAGGTCACCCACAGCCCTTCTACTGCTACTGATAATAGAAACTGCTGTTTCCCACCCGCATAGGAATGATGTATGATTAAATTTGGCTGTGAGAGACCAAAAAACCAAAACAACAGTAGCTTAAACAGATAAAAGTTAATTTCTTTCAAACACAGACCTATGTAGTATGCCAACTCCACGCTCCTTCCATATTGTTACTCTGCTATCCTCATCACACAGTTTCCACCTCAAGTTCCAAGATAGCTGCTCCAACTCCAGCCATTATGTCTACATTCCAGTTGAGAGGAAAAGAAAGGCACGCTACTGGCTCTGATGATGCCTCCTATAAGATGTATACACTGTCTGCATCCCATTGACTAAAACGTGGTCTCTTAGCCATGCTGGTGCAATAAGACTGGGAAATATAGTTTTTATCTCATTGGCCATGTGCTAAGCTGAGAACTAGGAGTTCACTCATTGTAAGAGGAGAGTGGGTATTGATGACATCTGAGTCTCTGCCCTTAGCGGGAAGCCCCTCTTACACCCAAGTAGCACAGCTCAGCCAACCATCCCCTCAGTGACCTTCCATCCTAGGCATCTGCTCACATGATGAAAAACCACAGAGACCAAGCCTAAATAACGTGCCAGGCACCACACTGGAAGAAATACCTAATTCCCAATTTTCAAATGTGGAAACTGTGGCCCCACTTCTGGGAACCACCCTGGAACGCATCTATGGCATGTGCTCCGCTGCCCTGGCCATTGCTGATTGGCCAGGTTCTTCCCCAGGACTTTTCAAATTGAAAATAAGGAAACAGAGGCAGCTCCTCCCCGGTAGTGAAGCTGTAAGATGGATGAAGTGGGGGCTGCCGGCAGCCACATTTCCTACTTTGGAAGAAGCAGGATTGAGCGAACAACACCAACACGCAAAGAAAGCCACATGGAGAGTGATTCCGGGTAATGTTTGTGTGCCTGAAGCCCAGCTGCCCCTGACCCTCCCCAAGTCACCTGGGATAACTCGACATGCTGCCAATAAGTTTTCTGTTTTGACAATCTCTTTGGAATTAGGTTTCTGATACTTTCGACCAAAGAAGCCTAACTGCCAGGGGAAGGAGGGTTTCCTGGAGGAGGTAACCATCAAGTTGGGCCTTGAAGGATAAGTGGAATCGTTAACTGAACAGCCTGTGGGAGATTCCTCCAGCTCTGCGAGGCTGAAGGATGACTGTGGGATCACAGAGCCCCATCTGTCCCCCTGCAGTGGGACTGATCCTGTCCCAGGAAAGTGGGCAGCTGAGGAGTGTCCTCTCCCTGTTCACAGGCAGAAACACCCTTGGACGGGCAGGTCTGCGTGGATGGGCTGTGGGCACAGGCCCCGGGCAGCACCCTGCACGTGTGCTGGGCAGCCCATGCCTTAGGGCCTCTTTTCTCAACCCTTAAATAAGACGGGGCGTTGATGCTGTGAACTCCAGTGCTGCTGTAGCTCCAGCGGCCAAGTGCAGCCGTGGGAACTGCACTCTCGACATGTGGATCCAACACTCAGTCATCCTCCAAATATTTATTAAGCACCTACTATAAACCAGACAACGTGCCGAAATACGCTGTTAAGACAAAGAGGCTCCTTAACCAAGGGACGTACAGTCTACTGTTAAAGGCAGATAGTAATCAAAAAATCCCATAAATAAATCATCACAGACTATGACAAATGCTGTTTATCATACAGAAAAGAAAAGTCATGGCAAGCTGTAAGAGGACGTCACCTGGGGGCTTGATACGTTCTCAGACAGACGGCAGGTGAGGCTTCTCCATGGAAGAGATATCTGAGTTAAGTTCTGAAGACTGAATATGAGTCATCCAGGACAGGGAGGTGGGGGGCTGTCCAAGCAGAGGAACCATGTGTGCAAAGACCCCAGGTCAGGTGAGAGTACAGAGCATCTGAGGACCCAAACCAAGACCAGAGTGGCTGACAGCAGAGAGCAAACAGGAGAGCGGCTGGAGAGGAGATGTGAGGAATGCAGGGCAAGGACACTGGCCTTGATCCTAAGAGGAATGAGGAACCACGGGAGCTTTCTAAGCAGGGGACCAACACCATAAGATTTGTACTTCATGATCACTCAGCATGCTGGGTGGAGACTGAATTGGAGAGAGCCAGAGAGGAAGTGGAAAGACCAACATGTGAGATAAATAGAGGGAGAGGGAGAGAGAGAAAATGAGAGTGAGCTACCCCCTGTCAGTTGGGCGGCAGTAGAGATGAAGAGCAAAAACTGCCCATCTTTATGTCCTGGCCTTGCCACTGACTCTAGAACCTCGAGCAAATTCCCTAAGCTCTCTCAGTTTCCTTCTCTCTAAAATGGGGTAGTATCTGTCTACCTCCTAGGTTGTGTGATTATTAAATGACTAATACACCTAAAGATCTTAGAACAGCATGTGGCACACAGTAACCTCTCATTAATTGTGGCCTGAGGCCACATAGCTACTATACAAAAACAGATGAATACTGAACTGCTCTGATTACAGTTGGGGGTGGGCTGGGCCCCGAGCCTCAGCTACTTGTCCACCCCTCCCGCCACCTTATCCTTACTCCCACCCACACAGCCCTAAATTCCTTGGATTTCAGTGTCTGTCTGCCAAATAAGGTCGGCCTCAAAGTGGCCTCTTGGGAGCCTGTCTCCTGGGCACTGTGGAAAAAAATGGGGTGAGAAGAGCTGAGCCGTTTAAAGAGTTCTAGCACACAGGGCCACTCTCAACTTTGTTAAACATAAGCTACGACTAGAAACACCACTTTATCTATCCAAAAAAAAGTTTAAACACTCTTCTGCTTGCTGATGTGTATATAAACTGTTTTCTGGATTTTTAAAAAAATAACAGTGGGGGTAGGAGGCAGGCCACAAAATGCAGAACAGCCTTGAAGGAAATAGGCTCTCAAGAAGGTACGGCTGACAGAAACGCCTCTGAAGGAACTCCTGGGAGGTTTATGGTTCCCTTCCCCACCCGCCGGCTTTCCTCACCCTGGCTCCCCTCTCTGCCCCTCCGAAGCCATGGTTCTGACTTGGTTGCAAGCAGAGATTCAGATGACACTGGGTTCTAACCTTCTAGAGATTTGCCTGGGGACAAGGAAGTCTAGGCATTAACCACAGGCCCCACCCCAGGAATGGCCCCTGAGATCTCACAGCCTGTGGCTGGACAGGGTCACTGGAAGAGGAGAACGGGGTCTGTGAACCGACCACCGAGTCCCAAAATTAGGTCACAACAAGGGATACTTGGACTACCTGTGCGTCAAACACCTGCTCTGAGCCATTCCCAACACTCCTGACCAGATGCAACACATCTACAGGACTATGGGACCACAGAGCAAAAAGGCCTCATGTATCTGAAGACTGGGGTAGCCTATAAACCTGCAACTACCCCAGGACAAATGAGAGCTCTCACTACCCAAAGCAAGCACCCAAAGGTCAGTAGAGCCGGGAAGACTTGGGAGGCGAGGCTCTCCAGACAAGGCGGGAGAGCACGGCCACAGAGACAGGAGAGAAGACAGACAGGAGCTGTACTTAAGATTATAAGACAATACTCGTTCATTGAGAGCAGGCGAAGGAGAAGGAAAAGTGGCAACCAGCCAGTTGTCCCCAGCAGCCCTGGAGAAGTCAGGTAACTTCTGCTCCGGGCAGGGCAGAGCTGGTGGCGCTGTTCTTCAGGGCAGCACAGGCTCTCGCCGCCTCACCTCACTCGGCCAGGGCCAAGTTTGTGGACTGCAGCCGCTCCGTCTCCTGGCAGATGTTCTGCTCCACCGTGTCACACTCAGCGAGGAATGCCTACAAGACAAACGCAGGGCAGTGAGGGTCCATACAGGGCTGGCCAGGCCCGGCCCACACAAGGCTCTTGGCTCGGCCATTCTGGGGAACCCCTGGGTGACTGACTTAGGGTGAAACAGGCTGTGCAGGGACGAAGGTGGCCTGGGCTCCAAAGTGAGGAGAGGGAGGTAGAGGGAAGCACAGGACCAGGGTTTGTGACAATGCTCTAAGGCCAACAACCCCCAAAAGGGTGGTGAGGACAGGAAGCCTTGCCCCTGCGACTGCACAATTTCAGCGGGCACTGCACGCACGAACGGTGCCTCCTGGAGCTGTGTAGCGTGTCAGCCCTGTCTGCTCTCCAGAGAGCCTCCTTCCCAGTTAGCTTAAATTCAGATATGATTACAGCGATACGAAACGCGCTCTTATGCTCCGGGTTCATGCTGAGAAATAACCAAAAAATGCCCACAGCACACACCACACGTCTACTCTACCCTACTTTGAACAGACACACACACACACCTCTCAGCACATGGCGCTTCGTAATGCTCTGCCACACTCACCTGAACCCTCTTCACTAGGCCCTTCCTTTTCAGTCTACTGTCTTTGAAATTTTCTGGCAGAATCTGTGGAAGATTAAATTGATACATAAATAATCCTCAGTGAAAATGACATAAGAACACGTCAGAAATATCCACAGTGGGGGCTGGCCTGGTGGCACAGTGGTTAAGTGCGCACGTTCCGCTTTGGCGGCCTGGGGTCCGCAGGTTTGGATCCCGGGTGCGGACACGGCACCTCTTAGCAAGCCATGCTGTGGCAGGCGTCCCACATAAAAAGTAGAGGAAGATGGGCACGGATGTTAGCTCAGGGCCAGTCTTCCTCAGCAAAAAGAGGAGGATTGGCAGATGTTAGCTCAGGGCTGATCTTCCTCAAAAAAAAAAAGAAATACCCACAGTACACTAAACAGGTCACAGGTCACCAATGTGAATGAGACGTGCATGTTCAGGAAGCATTTCCTGGGGTCTGGACCATACATGACCCTTCCCATGGCTCTCACATCTACAAACGCTCCCTCTGTTCTCAGCGTCTGGGTCATAGAAACCAATCTGTAACCCGGACTTTGTCCTTTCACTGTTTACTATGTATGGATACCATGTCCCGGCCAGATGATGAGCTCACTGTGGCAGGAAAACACCTTCTGCTTCTTCTTTACAAACCCCCTCATCCCCCTAGAATCCCAAGCCAAGTGGTTCACCCTCAATAATGAGGCATCAGGCTACAGATGTCATTACCATCAACTGTAACAGGGAACGTGGCATCAGTGACTCCCAACAGGCTCACGAGAGCAGGGTCTGACTGAATTACGCACAGGTAAGGAGCTCAGTGGAATACCAGTCGTCTGAGCATCAGGAAAGTGAAACCCTGTGTCCCTCTGACCATGACACCATGGAGCATGTGGGTCCCAGCTTCACAAGGATTAGATGCTACTAGCATGCACAAATAAAAATGACACAAGCCCTATCTTGGTGTGGTGTGAGGCCTAGAAATCAGGAACTGTTGTATCTTTCTGTGTATTCCCCGAGGCCCTGGCATGCAGTAGGCACTCAATACTCTCAGGCAAGAAGAGTGCCTTAGTGAAACAGTGAAACTGACGAAATGCAGTCTAAGGAAACTAGTTCTGCTGACTCCTTACTTACCAGTGTGTCAATCTCCTCCAAGATCTTCATAAACTGCTCAATTGTGGCTTTTACTTTCCTATCAAGTCTGCAGAGAGCTTCAGCTTGCAAATCCTTAGCCAGAAAACCCTGTGGAGGAATAATACATTACTGCAAGGGTTCATTGAGGCCGATGGAAAGCTCCAAGCCACAGCACTGATAAAGCAGCCACAACCACAGTCCACGTTTCCCCAAGAGGCTGGTCCAGACCTCAGAACCATAATTTCATCTTCTGGAAAAAACAGAAAAGCTGGCCTGGGCCATCCCAAGCACTGTGACAGGCTGCAGGCCACTCTCTCTCATGTGGCCTACTGGAGCTGCAAATGCCTCCTGAGGCCTGGCTCTGGTGAAGCCCCAGGCCCCAGTGTCTACCCACACACAAGAGGCAGGCATTAAGAGCACAGGGTTTAGAGTCTGATAGGCCTGGGCTCGTATTCCAACTGCCATGGACTGGCCTGTGCTCTTGAGCAACTGACTGAACCTATCTGCGCCCCAGTGTCCTCATCTTTAAAATGGCGCTTATGATACCCACACCCCAGAGGGCTACTGTGAGGACAAAGGGGAATCTATGTGGACCCTCAATATAATTCTCGACACAAATGTGCTAACAAATGGCAGCACCTGCATTATTCTTATTAAATTGTCTTGCTGTATATTCACACTGCATGGCCTAATGACCAGGCAGCTGGTGACAACAGGTGGACAGCAGGGATCTCTGAGGGCGTGTATCAAAGCTGAGAGCTACAAATGCAGGTATGACAACATGGAGAAAACATTAGCCAGCAATTCCAATTCAAAGAATTCATTCTCATAAAACAATCAGAAATGGTCAAAAATGATCTATGTCCAAGAAGAGTCAAAGAAGCATTATGCATAATGGTAAAATAATGTTAGGTGAGGAAGAGAGAATTGGTTAGGTCACTAGGATACATTCATATATAATAAAATATTATGCAAGTTTTAAAAACTATGATCATTTTTAATGACATAAGAAAATGTTCTATTTTTTAATCCAAGAAAAGAATAAGTTATAAAGTGTATATAGAATTAAATCAGCTATTTCTAAGATGAAAAAATAGATTCAAGTCTTTAGCAATGGTTATCTCTGAGTCAGGGCCTTACAGGTAATTTTTATTTTCCCTATTAGTGCCCACATGTTTATTTAAAAGTTATGTACAATCAGCATGTATTACTTTTATAATGAGAACACATCCATTAATCTTATAAAATGAGAGTGTCAAAAAGAAATACGTGTTTTGAGGCTGTTCCTAATCCTTACCTGGGTTTCAGTACCCCATCTCTAACATGAGGAATTGAATAGGATGACTCCTCACTAAGATCATACTCAACTTGGACCTTCTATGAATCTACAAAATGTTCTTTGCCTTGCCACACACACTGTAACAGACTAGGCTGCGAGAAGCTAACTATTCTATTTCAGACATATGTGATCCTAGCACAGCAGGTGCTCTCCTAGGAGCACAAATGGTCACTGGCTGGGCTTTGAAAATAACAATGACGATACGCTTACAAAGCACTTGGTATGTGTCAGGCTCAAACTATTATTTAATCCTCACAACAACCCTCAGAGGGAGGTGCTGTCATCATCCCCGTTTTACAGATGAGGACCTTAGACTAAAGCAAGCTTACCCACAGTAACAGAAAGGGTAGAGCCAGGATCTGCACCCAGGAGTATGACTACAGAGGCTGCCCTCGTCACCACTCATTCCCATCTCCGCAAAGTTCTCAGAGAAGGGAGAAAGTCAAAGGCCGCTGAGAGATTACCTGCTGGATTCCGGTAAGCTCCTTGTTCAACTCTTCCAGCTGGTCAGCTATCTTCTCCACAGACCTCTCCAGACCTTTCAACTTCTTTAGTTCAACCTCTTCCTCTGGACTGTTCTAAAATGAAGTCAATAATCACCAAGAACAGTAGCCTCTGTCAGGAAAAAAAAACCTGACCACAATTGAGCTAAACGACTGAGAAAAAATAGTTTTAACTCTCCTGCTTCTTCGAAACCAAGTCAGAAGGTTATACATTAAGGTTTTCTATCTACAAAGACTCTAGGCTAGAGAGAAGGTATTAGGGAGACATTCTGGCGAGGGCCCTGACAGCTCGGGTTCAGAGAATGGAGCAATCCAAGTTCCAGATTCAACCTCAGCCTGGGGCTGACCATCTACAGACCCCAGACTGAAGCCTGGAGGGTAAACACATTACAGTGGACACCTGTGAGGAGGCCAGACTGGCGAGACAGGTGGGATTCTACTATTCCTTTAAATGGAATTCCTAAATGTCACCCACCAACTGAGCTCTCCCTCTGAATATGACGGTGTTGATGATGAATACTTTTATCACTCCTTCTATGCCAGGCACTATCTGAAGCGCTTGACCTGTATTACTGTTTTAAGTACCCAGGGAGGGAGGTACTGTTTCAGATGATGAAATTGATGGTACTGTAAAGTAACCTAAGGTCACACAGCCCAAAAGAGGTGGAGCTGAGGCTTAAATCAGACTTGGCTCCACAAACCCCAGGACAGCTCCAACTGGAGTCCTATAGCTTCTTCAAACTCAACTCTTGGGTTCTGCTCACTGCCCATCACCATTATCCCTGATCCTTGAGCAAGAAATTGAGAATATTTCTCCTTCTCTCACCTAAACAACTGGTAGACAGGGCCAGCAGCTTCCCACTTTTACACTATCCCAGAATGTTCACATTTTTCTTTGTGGCCAAATCTTGAGCGCCAGTCTCCTGGCAGTTCCAACTCTGGACTAGATTTTCTTCGCCTCCACTTTGCTAATCTCGGCCCTCTCTCCACTCTGAATCAGCCACCTTGCTCCAAGTAAGGGAACTTCATATGACCAACAATTCCACTGTGTCACAATGCAGGACCAGCCATGGCCCTCTCTCGTCACCCAGGGGCTACTGTCCTCACCTGTCACCAACTGGCTCTTTTTCTCCCTCAGTTCTTT